TTTATTTAAAAATAATATATATTTTTTGTTAAAAATAGAAATAAGTGTGTGATTATATAATTATAATGGATCTTATTTATTTATTTTCTTATCATTTTTTATAAAATTAATAATTTTAATACAAATATATGGAAAAGAATACATTCAATTGTTTTTAAATATGTCTTTATTAATCATTTAATATTAAACAACAACCACTAATTATTGTATAATGAAATAGTTATATCTATCAAATTCATTATCTACTATCCATTACTTTTTGTTGCTATTTGCTATCTGTTATTCGCTAATCGCAATCCATTACTCGTTACTGTTATTTGTCGTTTACCATTCGCTATTCGCTACCTACTATCCATTGGATTTTAATTGCTATACCAAACAAGTCTTTTGTCTACAACTTTTCAGATAATATTCTTGAATACATATGGCATTGACTTCCCTTTTTTTTTTTTTTTTTTAACTTTTGCATCTAATAAACCAAATAAACGGCAAAAATCCCACTCAAATGTCAAATCCCTTACCACATAAGCATTACATGGCAATATTTTGCCATGCGAGTGAGTCCCCAAATGGCAATTAAATTGGTAGTAAGATTAAGGGCTAAATTGAACCGATAGTGGAGTCTAGGGACTTATAAGCATCAATTAAAATTTTGGAGCTCAATAATGATTCTAGAATTAATTCAAGGACTTAACTTATGATTTTGCCTCTCCTTATTCAAATCAAGGTTTGAAATTAAAATTTAAAAACTCTTACAGGCTGTCAGTTCTCCTTTACAGCCAATAGTTAGCAATGACTTGTCTTGATGCCCTGCATGCCTTTAGAAATTATATAAACCAATTAAAAGTCCTAGATGTGGGTTCACTTTGTAGGGTACAATCCAGACTCATAATTAGTTGGAGCCCTCTATTCTTCTCTAAATTCTCTTAAAGTTCTTGCCTTTTTTTTTTCCCCCCTTCATGTTAAGTCTTAAAAGCACTTGTTGCTTTATTAAAGAAAGAAGCCTTAATATTTAAACAAAAATATCTGAAGCTGCCATGGGAGCCGGTGAGCCGTCTATTTTGACTTCAAGTTATGGTTTCTTTGAACAATATAGATACAGCAAGTTGTGATTAATTTATTTACGAGAATCAAATTTTGAGCATGAATTCGGTTGTCTTACGGTACTTATTACCTACCTGCCAAGAATTGAATCTCAATAGATATGCTGGCAAAACAGAAATGACATATTTTTTCGGGTGACATTGTAAATTTAGTATAATGTCTTATTATATAATTATTTTTTAAAAAAATTAATTATTTATAATATTATATATATTTATTTAATAATATATTTTAAAAAGAAATTTACAATTCTATTGACATTGTGGTAGTAGAAATATGCACCTTTTCCCTTCAATCCTACGCACGTGTTTAAATAGCCTCCGAAAAATATTAAGGGGCATGGCGACAGAAATAGAAGATAGCCGACCGCTGCCTGCACATGTTATTATTATTATCATTTGGCCATGGCTGCACATATTATTGAATGCAAAGGAAATGTTGAAGTTGGTGGTTCCGACTTAATAATTGGTTTCTTAAAGTATATATGATACTTTTTCTTTATTCTTTCTTATCCATAGCAATAGCAGCCAGTTTTAAGCTAGATTAACTTATGCCACAAGATTACTATAAGATAAGTAACAAGTTTGTTAGTCATAAATGCCCTCCTTTAATGTCTCTCACTGCTCATATAAATCAAAACGCATATAAATAGCCCCTTTCGAGACATCCATGAGGAGTACCAATTGAATCAGTTCCCTCATAAAAGCACCAATTCCTCTTCTTCTTCAGAGATTTCCCTTCCAACATGATAAAAATGGGATGGCTTCACTTTGTGGGGTTCATAATCATGAGTCTTTTAGCTTCCTCAATTCCCACACAAGCTCAACTTCAACTGGGTTTTTACTCCAAAAGCTGCCCCAAAGCTGAGAAGATTGTGCAGGATTTTGTTAACAAACACATCCATAATGCTCCATCCCTTGCAGCAACCCTTATCAGAATGCACTTCCATGATTGCTTCGTCAGGGTACTTAATACATATATTCCATCTAACTTTTTTCACTTTCTTTTTCCCTTTACAAATGAGAATCTATATCTTCTTGCTAAATTTTCAGGGTTGTGATGCATCTTTGCTTCTGAATTCAACTGGTGACGGTGACGATGTTGAAAAGGAGTCCTTCCCAAATTTATCAGTTAGAGGGTTTGACTTCATTGACAGAGTAAAGAGTTTACTAGAAGCAGAATGCCCTGGTACCGTCTCCTGTGCAGATATCATTGCTTTGGTTGCTAGAGATGCCATTGTTGCTACAGTAAGGAGCACTGATCAAATTAGTTTTTTTCTTTCGTTTTTTTGTTTTTTGTTTTTTGTTTTTTGGCCGAGGATCATGAATTTAGGTAATTCAATGCAATTTGTATTACAAAATATTCTTTTATTTGGTTTTACTAGGGAGGTCCATCCTGGAGAGTTCCCACCGGGCGCAGAGATGGTTTGATCTCTAGAGAATCAGAGGCTTTAACTGAAATCCCAGCTCCTTTTGACAATTTCACGGTTCTACAAACTCGTTTTGCCAGCAAAGGACTAGATATAAAAGACTTGGTCTTACTCTCTGGTAAGCTAGCTCTAGGAAATCAAAGTCACATTTCCCTGTTTTTGATGTTCTTTCAACTTAATAGACAATGAAACTTGTTTTTATATATAGGAACTTGAGCTAAATGTAGTTTTCTTAAAAAGTATTTTAGTTTTCCCATAACATGTTTTTAATTTCTATAATTTGTTTAGTTTAAAAGAAAATGACGGGGAAGTTTTTTTATTTGAATAAAAAAAAATTACAGAGAAAGTTGGGAGGTAAGGGGTTTTCTTTTAATTTTTTTATATTTTAATTTAATCAAACAAAAGTTTCTCTTACTTTGGCTTTTTTTCAAACCAAACATACAGTCAAAATGCTTGAGGTTTAAGTAAATCTTTTGCTATTAAGATTTTAAATTTCATTCTTTTTATTGATTTTAAAAGTTAAGATTATTTTATATAAGGTTATGGTCAAGTGAAACAGACTCTAATTGTACATGAATCAGGTGCTCATACCATCGGTGTTGCCCAGTGCTCGGTATTCGCAAACCGGCGGCTGTTCAATTTCAGCGGTGTGGCTGGTGCGGTGGATCCAAGTATGGACAGTCTATATGCAGCCAATTTAAAGGCAAACAAATGTAAAAGTGCTAATGATAATACCACCATTGTTGAGATGGATCCTGGAAGTAGGAATACCTTCGATTTAAGCTACTACTCTCTTCTGCTCAAGGGACGAGGTCTTTTCGAATCCGACCAAGCTTTAACCACTAATGCTACTTCGTTGGCTATCATTAACCAACTGCTTCGGGAATCAGTTGGGAATTTCTTCGGGGAATTTGGGTTGTCCATGGAGAGAATGGGACGGATTCAGGTTAAGACAGGAACGGAAGGGGAGGTTAGGAAGCATTGTGCCCGTGTGAATGGTTAAGAAGAGTTAATTATTCACCATTGTCAGTTTGAATATTTTAAGATTCTCCATCAGTGTTAATTACTTTGATTTTCTTTTTTCCATTATTAAGCAATTTCATTTGTACAACGCGGAAAACAAAGAGGCACGTTTGGACTGGAATAAGTTCTGTTTATGATTAATGAGTTCTTGGGTTGATTTGTGAGCTTGATTTAATTGATTATATATTGAAATGTACTCTCTCTGTTCCATTACATTAGAGTTTTAGGGATAAATTTTTGTTTCAATTTATTTGTTGTTTTGTGCAAATCAAGATTTCTTTAATTTATTTTTTCACTTTTATCCTTTTATTAAAGTTTAATAACTCTAAGTTATGTCATTCTAACAAAAAAAAAAGAAAAAAAAAAACTCTTTGCTTTCCTCTGTTTCGTATATTGTATTTTTTGGGCTTACAAATTTTGGAAAACTCTTCAAAATGGCTAAACAAGCAAGCAATACCAGCAGATCTTGAATTCGATCTAAATAAACATACAATACCACAAGTTTTTGTATAGAAAAAATTGCAAAAGTAAAAATTTCTTGCTATACTAATTTTAAGCAATTGCTCTTGCAATAGAAAGGTAGAGGAAAGATTAGAAAATTGGAAACAAAGGATAGAGGTAGAGAATTTTTCATTATAAAGGATTCTAACCTTTGGGTTTTTGGTTCGACCATTTGGGTAGTTTGTTGGAGTGTAGAAAAGAAAAAAAACAAAAAAACATGTAACTCTGTCAGAGAAGGGTACGTAGAACCAAGTTTTGTACCTAGTTTGGAAATTTTAGTGGTAATAGAATGATAATAAAGTGAAATTGAATTGGAATGAAGGTTAGAATTGCAGACAAGTTTTTCCGACTAACGAATCCACAAATGAAAAGAGAAGGTGAAAGAGAAAGTGAAACGACGAATGGAGTTTTGTATTAGAAGAAAAGGTGAAGAAAAGGGTAAAATGGTATTTTTATTTTATTTTATTTAACATTAAAATTGAGAATAATTAATCATTTTCTTAATACCCATGCAAAAAGTCTAAAACAACAAATAAAGTGGAACAAAGGGAGTATTTCAACTGTGTATGGTTAGAGGTGTTTTTTTCTCTTTTTTTTGGGCAACTGTGTATGGTTAGAGTACCCTTAGTTTGTTTTCATTTGTTGTTA